ATGTATCTTTTTCTTTCAAAAATGGGATACCATTGGCATTTGCATGGATTAGTGCACGCGGGCAAAATGTGGTTGGAAACAAGCGTATAAAGTTGCACTTGATACATGAAATTATTTAGGTCATTCATGAATAATAAGTGAGAAGAATTTTAAATTTTCAATGGAAAGAGGGAGTGATGAAAGGGAGGGTGGGATGGAGGGAAGGGAGGGAGAGGGGGGGGGGATTCAAGTTGAAGAACTTTCTTCTAGTTGGATGCAACCAATCAATGTATCAATTGTCCAGCACAGTTGTACAACAAAGACACTATATTTGTATTTTGATGTAGTTGCTTGTTGTTTATATCGGACACGTCAACATCTCCAAGCTGCAGCGCGACACCACTACACTTGCCAAGACTAGGTACAAACTTACAAATGTAAGCGAAATACCATGGTTTGTACTACCATTTTATCCTTTAAAGGAAGGTACTCCTAACACTTTATCGGTACACTCCCTCTAGTAGAAACATCATATGGATTGGCCCCTTGGAGCACCACCCAGCCCATCATACTTTCTCAATGCCCCTCATACTAACCAATTGTGATGTGTCTATGCTTCACAATCAGTTTCTTGTACGTGCAGAAAGAACCAACCCATATAAGATCCCAACGTAAAAGAGATCAAGTTTATGATGATATTAATTGTAGATAAAGGTGTCAATATCACTCACTATACAAGTACAATAAGAGTTTCAAGAAAAAGCAAGTACACTTGGATCAAAGCTACAATAGAAAAACATTTAGAAATAAGAGGGTGCCCCGAGGCATGGGTGTATATCGAGGGGGAAAGGCGGTTAGAAACCGGTGAATGACGATGTACTTGGGAGATGAAATTATTTAGGTCTTTACATTGGCTAGTTATAGAGAGGAACACAAGCAGGTAGATTGTCACTTACTATTCATGTATGAGAGACTTTAAATTTGTTATACTTATGAGAGAGAGACCAACTAGAAGAGCTTCCTCTAGTCAGATGAAGCGATCAATGGTCAACACAAATTTTTGCAATGTGTTTTTCAGTGCATGATTGTTTGTAGGATGAATGGGTGGATTTGTTGTTTGTTGTATGCCTCTTATTCTTTTTGCCAGAGGCAGCATCATCTCCAAGCTCTAGCGGCCCTACCAAAGCTACAAAGGCTATGAGGAAGCTCGGCGAGAAATTGTTACGGGCCTACAAATGTGAGGGAATACTATGATTTCATTGCTTAAACCAAGATACTACTTAACATCTTGTCATAGTACTTCTCCCGATAACATTTTAGATGGATGGGCCGCTTGAACTACCACCATAGTTGAACATACTTTCACAATACCACTCATTTTAACCTAGTGAGTTATTGCTCATGTTTCGTATCATCTTCGTATTTGTAGAGCAAGATCCAACCCAAACGAGATATCAACCAAAAACAACCAAGTTTATGATGATAAGTAACTTATGACTAACCAATTGCACACACTCTATATAGAGAGGCAAGCCCATTTGAATTAAACTTGCAATGAGGTTGCACTAAGCCATATGACAGCTAACGATGCATGTCTCGAGTTGCCCTATAAATGGGTTGGTTCATCAAATGCAACACTTAGGCGGTATGAATGGCATTCACATGGTGTTAGCAACTTTTCGTCAGGTTTTTCTCTTCACCCGAGAGCAAAATGCACGGAGATATTTATTAGCCAACGAGTTGGGTGCATTAGATGCTTTAGGTATACGAACATGAAGTCTCTAATTTATTATTCAACACACCATGAAAAAGTTGAAATTCTTGGCAATATTTACATTATGTGCATTATTTCTATTCAAATAGTGAGATACCTCTAGTCTTTGCATCCACTGATGCACGTAGCTTCCCCACGACATACACCTATGATAGCATAAAGCATCAAATCCAAGCTCGACTAATGCACAAAAGATAAACATGAATGAGACAAATGCAGCTATTCATTATACAAAATGTGAAACGAACAATGTTTTGGTGATAT